CATGGGACCTGTACAAAGTTGCGAGCGGACTCGATCAAAAGGATGAGAAGATTCAAGTCGCTACGTTGCTCCACGTGCTTGGCAAGGAATGTGTGGAAATTTTTTCAAATTTTGTGTGGGATTCCGAGGATGATCGGGATAAAATTGAGGCCGTCGAAGGAAAGTTCAAAGCTCATTGTGCACCACTGACCTCGAGGCACTTCAATCGCTATTTGTTTATCGAACGGAAACAGCAAGACGGAGAGACAGTCGATGAATTCTGTAGCGCATTGAAAACACTAGCTAAGAACAGCGACCTCGGTGATAAAGAAGAATCTTGGATTACATCCATGTTAGTCCTGGGGCTTAAGGATCCGCATTCCAAAGAAAGGTTGATGGAGAGAGAACAGAGTTTAGAGAAAACATTGCAAGCAGCTCGCATCGCAGAAACAAGCAAGCAGCACATGAAGAGCATAAAAGAAGAGGGTAGCAAAGTTGAGAAAGTGGATGTAGTAGACGGCAAAGGACAGAAGCCTCAATGGGGAATGCCCTGTAGGAGTTGTGGTATTCGACATGCCCGAGATTCATGTCCTGCTGCTGGGCGACGCTGCCACAAGTGCCAGAAAATGAACCATTTTTCAAGGATGTGTCGTACCTCAGATGGACAAAAGAAACAGGTAAACTCTCTTGATGATTGTGACTCTGACTCTGAAGTTATGTTCATTGGAGCAGTCAATGCAGGAGACAAAGACTGGGTTGAAACTGTCAATTTTGGAACTGTTCAAGAAGTCTTTAAACTAGATACTGGGGCCCAGTGCAATGTCTTGCCCAAAGCCGCATATGACAAAATTACAACAAACCCTTTGCAACCTTCCTCGGCAAGATTAGAAAGTTACTCCAAAACTTGTATTAGACCTGTTGGAAAGTGTGAGCTGCCTTGTTGGGTGCGTGGGGAAAGGTATCAAGTATGTTTTCAAGTGGTTGATGGAAATTACATGCCCCTCCTGGGTAGATCATCCTGTGAGAATATGGGCCTAATCCAGCGCATAAATGCCATTGAAAGTGTCAGTATTCTTGATGAGTTCCCTGAAGTATTCCAAGGACTTGGGTGCCTCCCAGGGAAATATCACATTAGTGTGGACCCCTCTGTTCCTCCTGTGGTCCACCCACCCAGACGAGTTCCTCACTCTAAGCGAGTCCCACTGAAGAAAGAGTTAGATCGGATGGAGAATGTTGGCATTGTAGAGAAAGTTCCCTTGAATGAACCTGCCGATTGGGTAAGCAGCCTTGTTTGTGTTGATAAACCGGATGGGTCTATTCGTGTATGCTTAGATCCTAAAGATCTTAATGTTGCCATTAAAAGAGAACACTACCCTTTGCCAGTGGTAGATGACATCACAACTAGTTGTTCAGGAGCCACACTATTCTCAACTTTGGATGCAGAAAAAGCATTCTACCAGATCCAGTTAGACGAGGAGAGTAGCAAGCTCCTGACATTTAATACCCCCTTCGGAAGGTATAGATACCTGAGGATGCCGATGGGGATTAAGTCTGCTCCAGAAGTTTACCAACAAAGAATGGAGCAAGTCTTTGAAGGACTGCCGGGTGTGAAAGTCATCATGGATGACATAATCATACATGGTCGAACTGGGCCGGAACATGATACACGGTTGAGGGCTGTTCTGCAGCGTGCCAAAGATAACAATCTCAGATTGAAGAAGTCAAAGTGCCACATACAACAGGAAGAGGTGAAGTTCCATGGCCACTTGTTCTCCCATGACGGTTTGAAGACAGACCCAGAGAAGGTCAGAGCCATAGTTGAGATGCCAAGGCCAACAGACAAATCTGGTGTACAAAGATTGTTGGGGATGATCAACTATGTCAGTAAATTCATCCCCAACATGTCTGACCTTACTGCACCATTAAGACAGTTACTACACCAAGATGTTGAGTGGCACTGGGAAGAGCAGCAGGAAGCTAGTTTTAAAGCAATCAAGGAATCGCTTGTCTGCGCCCCTATTTTAGGATATTATGATGCAAAGAAATCCCTGACGCTACAAGTTGATGCCAGTTCAACTGGACTGGGTGCAGCATTGATTCAGGAAGACCGACCAATAGCTTATGCCTCAAAGGCACTCACGCCCACTCAAGAAAGGTATGCCCAAATTGAAAAGGAACTTTTGGCAGTAGTATTTGGCTGTGCCAAATTTGCAGAGTACATCGTGGGTCGTGATGTCACCGTTGAATCAGATCATAAACCTTTGGAGGCAATTATGAAGAAGCCCTTACACGTAGCACCCTTACGGCTGCAACGGATGTTGGTCCAACTCCAGCGCTTTCCAGGAATCAATGTGGTATACAAGCGTGGAGACAGCTTACATTTAGCGGATGCTTTGTCTCGAGCCCATTTGGAAGAACAGCTGACGAATGCTGAGCAATTGGACATAAACTTAGTAGAGGATGTTATCTCTGACCACCAGTTGGCCCGTTTCGCTGAGGCAACTAAGGAAGATGCGATTTTGTCTGACCTGCAACAAGTTATTTTGTCAGGTTGGCCAGATTCCAAAGGTCAAGTCCCACCCAATGCACAGGAGTTTTGGAATTACCGTGATGAATTAACAGTAGCCCAGGGACTGATCGTTAAGGGACAAAAGATTGTTGTACCAAGTAGCTTGAGAGGAGAGATGCTTGAGAAACTGCATGAGGGACACCTGGGTATCAACAAGACAATAGCGAGAGCGCGGGACGTATTGTTCTGGCCCAGGATGAGTGTGGAGATAACCGAGAAGATTAAAAACTGTCCTGTATGTCTAGAAAATCGACCAAGTCAGCAGCCTGAACCATTGAAGTCGCACGAGATTCCACCACTGCCTTGGGCTAAGGTTGGCACAGATATTCTGCACAAGAATGGTCGGAACTACCTCGTTACTGTCGATTATTACTCCAAGTGGCCAGAAATGACTTTACTCCCGTCAATGACAAGCACCGGAGTAATTACAGCTCTTAAATCCCAGTTTGCGAGATATGGAGTCCCTTCAGTTGTCGTTTCTGACAATGGCCCCTGTTACAGCTCTGCAGAATTTAGGAAGTTTTCAGAAGACTGGGGTTTTGAACACATCACTTCAAGTCCTGGCTACCCACAATCCAATGGCCAGTCAGAGAGAACCGTCAAGACCGTTAAAGCAATGCTGGAGAAAGCTGGTGACCCATACAAAGCTCTCCTTTCTTACCGAAATACACCCCTGGAGGAAGTTAATCTGTCACCCTCACAAATGCTAATGGGAAGACGTTTGCGAACCTCAATTCCAGTGACTGAGGATTTGTTGAAACCTCAACTCTATGACCCTGAAGATGTCCTCCCTAAGTTAAAAGAAAGGCAGAGAAAGCAGAAGCTGCAGCATGACAGAAAAGCAAAGGAACTGCCCCCTTTGAGGGATGGTGAGGTTGTAAGAGTTAGAGAAGGCAACAAGTGGAAACCTGCTAGAGTTACACAGGTTCTTCCTTCACCTAGATCTTATAAGGTTGAAACAGAGCGTGGAGAGTACCGAAGAAACCGTCGACATTTATTAAGAACTGAAGAGTCTCAGATCCCAGAAATCACCCCTACACCGGAAGTCTCGAATGATGAGGACCTGACAGACACGGAAGTTGAGCCATCCTCTGTTAGAGTGGCCCACGAGAATCCTGTAACACCGCCAACCGGAATGTCTACGGCTACTACCACGCGGTCTGGTCGGACAATTAAGGAACCTCAGAGATTTAAGGACTATGTTAAGTATTAGATACAAAGCAGACACTTTACAGCTTTTCAGTTAAGCTTTCTGTTTCCAGTTTTCAGGAAAGGACACATTGCTCTTGTTGCAGCATTGTCTCATGTTTCTTTTTTTTTTTTTTTTCTTTTATTGTTACGGTTTGTTTGTTAAATTCAGTAATTTCAGCTCTCTTTGTTTCTTAAAAAAAAGGGGGATGTAGCATCAGGTCAGCGGTTATATTTAGCGCATGCCTACTGGAATAAAGTGTGTTCATTTGCATCCGCCATCTTGAGTGTATGTTGTGTCTTCTCGGAGAACACTTCACTTACAACTGTCTTAAAGGACAGTATCTAAGTACAAATGGTTTGTTTGGGACAAGTTATGTTTTTAGTTGAGTTTGGCCTTGTAATGAATACTAGAATTATAGAAATTTTATAACACAAATCAATTCTTTTGCAAGGAAAATCTGGTACCATGTTTAAAATGTGATGACCTTTTTTATATATATAAAATTCACATTTTCTAAGAGCATTGAGCATAATTAAGAGTACATTTCCTGTGAGTTACAATGCATGTAGAATTGTTCTTACAATTTTTTGTACATGACATAAAATGCATCTAGGGCCCTCCTGTAATAAGAGTCATTTATTTTATTTTGAGCCCCCTCTATCTTGGGATTATTTTTACTTAATGCCCCCGACCCCCTCCTGCTGATAATTATTGCACAGTCCCTTACTGATAAAAGTCACGCGCGCGAAAAGTCTGGGAGAGGCGAGTAGAGTTGATTTGGAAAACTGTGAATACCTCTGGAAAATCTCCAGCGACAACTATTGGCCAATTTCTAGTTGCTCCAACCTCTGTTTTATAAAGGTGAAGCCTTGAATGTGAAAAAGATTTTTTTTTTCTAGGGGGGTGGGGGCTGGGGGATTCCCATATGAAAGGGGCGGGGATGCTCGTCGTCTCGCTTCGGATTTTGGTGAAAAGCATGTTTTTAAAAAAGCAAAGATTCCAAATAGATTCAAAAGAGGCCCCCCGATAAATGTTTAGTTTTTTTTTTTTAACTTAATCGTGACAGTGATGCTTACATGCATAGCAGCGACAGAAAATAAAAAACAAATAGGTAGAATAGCTGTTTTATTTTCAAGCTGACATTACATCAACGCACTTGGTAAGTGCCGTCTTGATTCTTAGCTGTAATGCGTTTTGGTTCGTCTATAGTGAGTTACATTAGTTGAATCACTCTACTTTCGGCTTTGATGCCGGTCAAGCCTAAGGCAGCCTCTTGCAGACAATACCACAAGGGACATGATTCGAACAGGATAGGTCATTCCAGTATCCGTTTATTCCAGGGTGCGGGTGCCTGGTCCAAAAATTGCTGCATGGTTCATGAGCATTTCCATTCGGCTCACCTGGAAACCATTTCTTGAATGTCGGAATTGAGTTGTCAGCCCAGATAAACGCTTTTCTTTGCGGGTTCCACTCCAGTGCCAGCCAAACCTGACGCAATGACGGAGCGCGCTTGTTAACTAGCTTCAGTACAAACTCGTTTTCTTCTTCACTGTTGATCTTCACCAGATCTCCTCCCAGTCCTTTGCAGTAGGCTTGGGCCTGGTGCCAAGTCTTGATGGAGTTGCTCACCAAGTAACAGTAGCCTTTAAAATATGTCCAGTCACTGGGACAAGGACCTTTTCAATGGGAAACAAAACAAAGGTTATTTCTATGAACATTGGTGGGGTTATCCCTAAGGTTTCTCTTAAGTTTTGTACCCGATCAGAAAGTCAGCTCACCATAGCAAGTCTACGGTTAAGCTATTTAATTAAAGGGTGTTGGTTTGTTGGCTAGAGCTAGTTAGTCAAAAAAGTGGTTCTGTTACCCGTTGTTCATATGCTTGGCTAATTTTCCCTTCAAACCCTTACCAAAATCAGAAAACTCTAACCAATTGGAGTCAAAATATAATCTTTGCTTGATATTACTTACCAAATTTTAGTATGCGTTCAATACTTCGTAGAGTTGTCTGCAATGTCGCATCAGTGACATCTCGCTTGAATTTATCGTCCGACTGAACTGTTAGAAAAAGAGAACAGTTCACTGTTTTTCACTAAAACTTGGTGAAAATAGCTAATTCACCGCCAGTGAATTTTTCATCAAATATCAAAATGTTTACAACGTCTGTGAATCAAGTGTATCAATAGAAATGGTGGTTAACAGCCACCAAATTTATTGGCAGTGATTATACAACTTACATGTCCATAAGCCATTTGATTTAGGTTCAATTTTTGTCCTTGATTTATTTCGGGGGCACCCAACGAGAATATAGTTCAAAACCACTTAAACATAGCATTGTTAAACGTATTTTAGTATTTACACGGTAGATATAGGCATATTTTTATCCCCTAAAAATTTTTAATCTGTTTGGATTTCCTAGCTGAAAGTCTAGTGATCCGAAAATTATAGGGATCAAAACTTACCTCTTCGAAAATTTCAGCCAGAAAAAAGGCTCCCGAAAATTCTAGGTGACCTTTTTAGGGCAAAAATCCGTTAAAAATGGGCAATTATACCATTTTTTAGATGTTCGAAAATCCTAGGAGAGGCAGACAAGCAAGAAATTTTGGAAAAAATGTTCCGAAAATTCTAGATCTCAAATCGTCTCTCGAACAGATATTTTCCGAAAATTGTCGTTGGGTGCCCCTGTTATTTTGCCGATAATGTTTCGTTTAAAATATTCTGTTTATCTAAAGAGTTGAAAGGTCTAATAACTTCCTTTGAATACTCACGATTCCATTTTTTCTGAACAGATGAAACTTGTTACATGCAGTCGGTGATAAAAATAGAGTGAATTAACCTCAGTTATTTTGGTCGCCTCAATAAACAGCAACTGTTAATTCAATTTAGCGCTCAGTTCTCAAGAAGAAGAGCGACGAATGAATTATCAATAAATCACTGTAAATAGATGCTCGTGCTCTAAAAAGCCTCCTTTTAATAATACGTTATGTTATTTCTTCTGGAAACTTGTAAAAGTNCTTTTTAGGGCAAAAATCCGTTAAAAATGGGCAATTATACCATTTTTTAGATGTTCGAAAATCCTAGGAGAGGCAGACAAGCAAGAAATTTTGGAAAAAATGTTCCGAAAATTCTAGATCTCAAATCGTCTCTCGAACAGATATTTTCCGAAAATTGTCGTTGGGTGCCCCTGTTATTTTGCCGATAATGTTTCGTTTAAAATATTCTGTTTATCTAAAGAGTTGAAAGGTCTAATAACTTCCTTTGAATACTCACGATTCCATTTTTTCTGAACAGATGAAACTTGTTACATGCAGTCGGTGATAAAAATAGAGTGAATTAACCTCAGTTATTTTGGTCGCCTCAATAAACAGCAACTGTTAATTCAATTTAGCGCTCAGTTCTCAAGAAGAAGAGCGACGAATGAATTATCAATAAATCACTGTAAATAGATGCTCGTGCTCTAAAAAGCCTCCTTTTAATAATACGTTATGTTATTTCTTCTGGAAACTTGTAAAAGTCCTGGAGAAGGGACTTTAAACCGAAGTTTGTAGAAGTAAATGTAGGATTCGTTGAAGCCGGAATTCACCATAATTTTGACTTATCATAATTATGTCATATTATCCTTATGTTCATAGCTTTACTTAAAGCGCGGATATTAATGACTTTGAGCAGATTAAAGTAAAATACGTGATGGCTATGCTTTAGTGGATTATTTCAATAAACGTATAAAAACGCTTCCGAAACATAAATACGACATTCAATACAACCAGTTTGTTCGGTTACATCCATGGTAGCGAAAAAACAAAATAGAAATAACTTCACTGTAACTTCAGATGTAATAGGAAGAAGAATGTTTTCAGTCGATTGCTCAATTGAAACAGACGTTTCTCGAAATAAAGGCTCCTTCGGTGTCAAGCGATATACAATCGGCCCTGTGAGATTACCGAGACTGAAGCGGCCGCAAGATTTGTAGACCGCAGAAATGATTTAAAGTGTACCTGTGCCGAGCGAGATAAAAATCGGTAGAATAGTAAAAACCAGTTTCATATCAGCAGTTTCAGTCCTTCTGGATATCTGTATGCGAGTTTTCTCTCTAACAGTCCTCAAAATAATGACTCATAGAATCGGATATGATCATAACACGCCCCTAAACAAGCTAAAACAAGTTATGGGATGTGGGAGATGTAAACATGACCGTGACCACGAAACAGGGAAATTCGTAGATGGATTGGGTACATAAGTTTCAATGATAGTTAAAATCTTCAGTAACTTGGACACATTAACAAACTAAAAATGATAGGACGGTAACAAACGGTAACAAACTAAAAATGGTAGGACGTAATAGCTTTTGCCAAAAACCTTAAATTTCTTGGTGTTGACTTGGTGATTATTTTCTCCTATCACATATGTATATTCTATTCGACAACTTTGAGTAACTTGACATAAAATCATTTTGCATATAATGTTTCACTATAATTGAGGGCCTCCCAGAGGGGGTACATGTTCCCTTGTTCCCTAGAAAAAATTGGAGTTTTTCCCTTGTTCCCCAAAAATAAATTAAGATGTTCCCTGAAATTCACTTTCATCAAGTTCCCCTGTTCCCAGAAATTCTGTTGCATGTTCCCTTGATCCCCAGAAATATTAATTAATGTTCACCAGAATTTCAATCATATTTCAGTTTTCGATGGTCAGTATTTTCGTAAGTTTTACCTCGTTAGTCATAGTAGAGATAATCCTCAGCAAAACGCCTCTTTCGTCTCCTTGATGAATGCCGCATCACCTCTGGTTCATCAGCAGAAATTTCTGTCGCCTCTGTAAGAGTGAGGACATCACTTGTCTGTTGAATTTCATCCTGAAGTAGGATCAGCTCTTCCTCCTTAAGTTCCAAAACATCTTGATTATGTTTGTAGGTCGTCAAGATACAAATAATGCTATCTACCTCAATGTATTTCTCTGAATTTTCCGAAAAGCATATTGGGTTAAAAGGATCTTGAACAAAAATTTTGGCCATCACTTTTTTTATGCCAACTTTAACATTCTCCTGTAGGCAGGCGAGAACCAAGGTGTTTTCAGGGCACCCTTTGTCATGCTTAACACAGACTATCTGATTAGACGTGTACAGAAACTCTGTCACTTCTTTCTGTGGCATTTGTTGCACTGAATGGTGGTCTCCTAATTTGGTTAAATCAAGTGGCTGGACATCTGGTGGGCCCACCGCATATAGATTAATCGGGAGAGTTCCTGGGTTGTCTTTGGTCGTCATATTGCGCACCGTTTTTTGGGGAACACTCTGACCGTGGACAGCTCTCCAATTCCTCATCTCGCGAACTTGTTGACTAGTTAGCTTGTTTGTCTTTGGGGGACGTAATTTCGGAAGGTCAGAGTAGCTTGCAGATACAAAGGTGTGTGGGTAGTATGAACTAGAGCTAGTAAAGTATGAATATGGTGTAGAGCACTGTCTTTTTAAGCGTTCTTTGATCGCTCTACTGAACCTGTAGTCAAATTCAAGCTGCAACGGCATGTCACTGGCACCCGTTCTCATCTCAGAAAACGTGTTTTCCACAACCAGGGTCAAAATGCTCTTTATGTTAAATCTAGCACTCAACCCAGGACTAAACCGGTCCAAAAGGACCTTAATTTCACGTAGTGACTTAAGTAATCGTCTCTCGTCTTCAATGACAACTGAAGAAACAGTTCCTTGAGGGCCCTGTGTTTCACCATGCGTGCCTGTTACAAGCTTGACATTGTCGACGCACTCTTGGTCAAATCGATAAACTAACTCCAGTCTCTCTATTGCTGGCGTCATCTCGATGGCGAGAGGAGCTTCCTTTTTAAGGTGAAGTCCAAATGTCTCTCCGAACAAATGTAGGTACTTCAAATACTCCACTAAACTGTTGACATTGCTCGTCATCCGGAGTGCACCTGTCGATGTGTCCACAGTAAACAACGTTTTCATGTCAAAACATATTCCTGTTGGCTGAGAGAGCTGTGCCTTGCTTCCATCCCTTGTGCCCTGTCCGTCACCAACCAGCACGAAACATTCCTTTGTGGCAGGATTAAGAGTCAAGAAAGTCTCACTTAGAGATATTTTTATGTACGCTCATAAGTGTAGCATTGAAAAATCAGAGCATGACTTACCTATCATCTCCCTTTGATGACTAATAAACTGTGGTAAAGTAGTCTCCCACTGTTCTTGCGTGTCAATTTGAAAAATTCGTCCTTTAGGCCACTCAGGTAGTTTTGGCCGAAAGTCTTTTGAAGACAGCTGAATTTTGAACTTAACGATTTTTAGCATTGCACATTTCTCCTTGATGCCAAATCCTTTCTGCAAGCGGCTTAAAACTGACGTAAAATCTTTATCTGAAACAGTCCTCATACCGAGTTCAAAACACCATCTTTCTGTGGGCTTTTCATTTCCATTGTGATAAATTGCACCGGTAACCGGTACAATTACCGTTGTGTCTGATATATCCGCAGATTGAGCTTGAATTCCTTCTGTTTCCGTTGCCATTTATTAATAAATGGTTAGCGTTTCTAGACATGGAACACCAAAGAGAAAATTACCATAAAAATGGCGGTCCACCCGACGGAGTCTCTCCCAAGGTTCCCACGCGTTCTAAACTCGTCCCCAGTCGTCACCAGTTCACTTGTGAAGATTAGTCGCCAGGCTTAGTCGTCGGAAATGCGTGAAATTACAGAAACGTCGGAAATGTCTTCATAAACAGTTAATGGAAATCTCTCCAAAAGTTAGAAAATGGTCGAAAGTCAATGTTCCCTTGTTCCCGAATATCCCTCAACAGTTCCCTTGTTCCCTAAAAGTTATTTTGAAATATCCCTTGTTCCCTAAAAGTAAATGGCGATGTTCCCTTGTTCCCTAAAACCCCTGGGAGGCCCTCATAATTACTGTTCGTAAGTATTTACTTTCATTACTTTCATTACTAAGACTGATACATTGAATAGTGTCCAACGACTTCCATCTGAAACCAAATGTTTCTGTCGTAGTATAGGTAGTAATATTAATTATAGGATAATGGATAAAAATGGATAAAACTTTTTTGCTATAAGGAAGTGAATTTCGTTGTTGACCGAGTTAACTAATACAGCCCGGCCCTAGAACAACTAGGTCTGTATTACAAGAAAGTCGGACATGTATTCTTTCATACAACAGTTAATTGGAGTACAAACAATTGTGATTATAATAAAGAATCTTACAGAGACTTACTGGACAATGCATACTGGCGTACTTGGAATATTGGTGTCGTTTCAGTATAACTTACATTTCATTCCCATTTACATACATGTATGTTTTATTTGTTGTCGATTGTCAACCGGACAATCGACATTTAGTCAGTTTTTATCTACTTTTCATTTGGCTATAAAGGTAAACACATGCACTTCCTTCACGCCAAAAAACAGCGAACGGTAAAATATATTGGTCATCTCTATTCATTTTGTGTTTGTCGTGAATTTGTTGTGATGGGAATGTGTTCACAGAAGAAAGATTTAAAAATACCTCTCTAATGCGAAAAAACTAAGACATAATTGTGATCAAGCATCTGAAAATGAAGCTTGTTGAAAGCCGAATGTAAAACTGAAAATACAATTCCAAGACAAAAGGAGGAATGGTTTTATTAGGAAATAAGGTCATTTAACTTTCTGTAAAGAAAATCTAAAAGGAAAAGTTATAAAAATTGTAAAATGAATTTTTTTAAATGAAAAAAATTAAGAAAACGAATGGAAAACAAGCTTATTGTCTTAAAATCAATTTCACATTTACGCTAATGATTGGATTTTTATTTTCTGTAACTGTTTAAAAATATTCCAAAAGGTAAACTATTTATAGGCAAAAAAGAGTGCTCATTTGTAATATATCAATGTTGTGACCTTTTGATTAGCAGTAAACTATCGCCGAAGTTTTAGACAATGTGAAATCGCTTCCGAATTCGATAAAGTGAAATTTAGCATTTTTTTTGGGCCGCTTAAACTGATGAGAAAAATCACCAAACGAACCCACAACCTGCGTTTTTCCTCATATAGACACTTAATGTAATACTAGCGCCATTCACACTTCTTATAGGATTTTAAGAATAACACGCGCTGTGTAAGCTATATAAGCAAGGACAGCAAGGCCTCATAACTAAGAAAAAGATGAGTTAACTAAAACTTTCTAATAAAACATTCATCGTGGACCAACACGAAGCACCCGGGACGAAGCAGAACTGAACACTTCCTTCTTTTAGAACACAACCAGGTCAATGTTTTATTGCCCACACGAACGACAGTTAGTTTTGAGTCAGTATACAAGACGCTACTTTTCTTTGGGTTTTTGCCGCAGTCGCATCTATGATCTCACCAACTGCAGTTCTTTTGAACACTTGCAATCATAGCAGTAATTCCAATACCTTGCTATCAACAATGGCCGTTACAGATCTTCTAGTAGGAAGTTTATGTGTACCGTTATCTGCTGTGGTTGGACTGTTAGTTTCTTAGCAAATACTGACCGACCATTACATTTGCTTGCTGCACTTTGTTGCGATATGGTCGACGGTCATTCTTACGATTTGTTCGATTTTCCATCTGACAATNCTGATGAGAAAAATCACCAAACGAACCCACAACCTGCGTTTTTCCTCATATAGACACTTAATGTAATACTAGCGCCATTCACACTTCTTATAGGATTTTAAGAATAACACGCGCTGTGTAAGCTATATAAGCAAGGACAGCAAGGCCTCATAACTAAGAAAAAGATGAGTTAACTAAAACTTTCTAATAAAACATTCATCGTGGACCAACACGAAGCACCCGGGACGAAGCAGAACTGAACACTTCCTTCTTTTAGAACACAACCAGGTCAATGTTTTATTGCCCACACGAACGACAGTTAGTTTTGAGTCAGTATACAAGACGCTACTTTTCTTTGGGTTTTTGCCGCAGTCGCATCTATGATCTCACCAACTGCAGTTCTTTTGAACACTTGCAATCATAGCAGTAATTCCAATACCTTGCTATCAACAATGGCCGTTACAGATCTTCTAGTAGGAAGTTTATGTGTACCGTTATCTGCTGTGGTTGGACTGTTAGTTTCTTAGCAAATACTGACCGACCATTACATTTGCTTGCTGCACTTTGTTGCGATATGGTCGACGGTCATTCTTACGATTTGTTCGATTTTCCATCTGACAATGATGGCATGGGAAAGGTACTTGGCCATTGGAAAATGGATTGACTACAAAGTGATGGTGACTTAAAGCCTTGTGAAAAATCTGGCGATAATAGCTTGTAGCAATAGTAACTGTATCTCCAACACTCTTAAGTACTTTTCGAGGATGATGGAGGAGAACCTCTGGAGATTTTCCTCATTGTCCTTAGTCCTTGCCCTGCGTCTTATAACACATTTTTCTGTCATGATGTACCTTAGCCATGTTAGCATGAGTTTGCAAACGCCATCAAATTTGCCAAGTCAACGAGTTACTGAAAGAAAAACTCGAATAAAAAGTAGCTAAGTCGACTGCTATTAACGGTTGCCCTGTTTCTTTCCTTTTTCCCAATTATTGTTGGTGGTATGATACAAGGACTTTATCCAGTCTTTCGCAACGTTTGGCAATGAGTCTAGCAGACACATGTTTGGACATTAAAATTCTGTAGCTAATCCACTCGTTTACTTCTACAGAGGATCGCTGTTTCAGGAACGCCATGCTGGAGATTTTGAAGATTAGGAGACACAAAGTAAAACCGCTTGTTGTACTGACCGGTGCGATGTAATGTACATTTCGTTCTAATCGATGTAAAGATATAGTTTATGACAAGAGCTATTCAAGTAGCGGTTTTTCCGGGTGCTTGGATTTGAGCTTTGAAATCGATTGTGAACCCGGGAACGATAAAACACTCAGTTTTTCTAAAAGACTTCTCTCCCATGCAAATTTTAAGGCATACATGTAATTGTGATCAGACATCCGATAACGAAGCTTGTTGAAAGCCGGCTGTAAAATAAAATACAATTTGAAGGTAAAAGGCGGAACGGCTTGATTAAGATTTAATTGAACTCTACATAAAGAAAAGAAGGGAACGTTTTTATAAAATGATATTTTTTTAATGGAAGAAAGGGGGAAGAACTAATGTTTTAAAACATTTACGACAACAATTTTTTTTCTATTTTCTGGAACTGTTTAAAAAGAGCGATCATTTACGGTTTTGAAATGTTTTAAAATGTTTTTGACCCCAAAGTAATTTAATTATTAGAAAATTATCAACCAGCTTTCAGTTTGATCCAGAAGTCACCCACACCTTAAAATGAGTTTTTCATAGCTCGTAAGTGTTTTGTGAGAAAACAATTTTTTTTTCATCCTGATATCATTTTCACTGATTGTCTTTTATACGCCCCTTTCTGTGACCGCTTGTGAGAAAAATCTCTAAGCCACAAACTGTTTCTTTTCATATAAACACTCACTGCTAAGTAATCATTACGTAATTTAAATTTACATTAAAATGTTTAGAATCACATGAGCTGTGTAAGCTATATAAACAAGGCCTCATAAAGCGAAAGAAGAAAGATAACTAAAAGTTCTGAAAAGAGATTTACTCATGGACCAACGCGAAACAGAACTGAACACTTCCTCCATTTCGAACTCAACCAGGTCAGTGTTTTATTGTCCAAAAGATCCACAGTTAGTTTGGAATTTACATGACATAACTTCGCCTTGGATTTTTGCCGCTGTCGCATCTATAATCTCTCCAACTGCAGTTCTTTTGAACGCACTTGTGATAATAGAAGTAAAGCAAAGGAAAGAACTGCAGAGAGCTACCAATGTCTTGCTATCAAGTTTGGCCGTTACAGATCTTCTAGTAGGAAGTTTATGTGTACCTTTATCTGCTGTGGTTGGACTATTCGTTCCGTATCAAATACAGGCTGACCATTGCATTTGCAAATTGGACTCTGTGGCGATTTCGTCCACGATCACAGCAATTTGTTCGATTTTCCATCTTACAATGATTGCTTGGGAAAGGTACGTGGCCATTCGAAAATGGATTGACTACAGAGTTATAGTGACTAGAAGCCGCTTGAAAAAGCTGGCGATAATAGCTTGGGTGTCAGCAATAGTAACCGTATCTCCAACACATTTTATTACGGCACTCACAGGGATTTTGAGGGAAAATGAGATGGCTTTAGCTCTGGAAATTTTCTTTATCGTTCTTTCAGCTTTCTTATTTCTTGCCCTAAGTCTTGTCATATATTTCAGGGGCACCTAACGAGAATATAGTTCAAAACCACTTAAACATAGCAATGTTAAACGTGTTTTAGTATTTAAACGGTGGATATGGGCATATTTTTATCCCCTATAAATTTTCCATCTGTTCGGATTTCCTAGCTGAAGGTCTAGTGATCCGAAAATTATAGGGATCAAAACTTACCCGTTCGAAAATTTCAGCCAGAAAAAAGGCTCCCGAAAATTCTAGGTGACATTTTTACGGTAAAAATCCGTTGAAAATGGGCAATTTTACCATTTTTTGGATGTTCGAAAATCCTAGGAGAGGCAGGCAAGCAAGAAATTTTACAACAAATGTTCCGAAAATTCTAGATCTCAAATCGTCTTCCGAACAGATATTTTCCCGAAAATTGCCGTTGGGTGCCCCTGATATTTTTATTTCATGGTGTACCTTGGAGTTCGCAAACGTAAATTAAGTCAAATTCGCCAAGTCAGCGAGTTAGTGAATGCGAAACTCGAACAGAGAGTAGCTGTGACGACTACTTTAGTTACGGTTGCCCTGATTCTTTCCTTTTTCTCAAATGCTGTTATTTGTATGTTGGAAGGAGTTTATCCAGTTCTTCGTAAACGTTTTGTGATAGACTTAAAAGCCACACTTCTATCCACAAATTCTGTAGTAAATCCGCTTATTTACTGCTACAGAGACTGTCGTTTTAGGAACGCCGTGCTGGAGATTTTGAGGATCAGAAAACCAAAAGTAACGCCGTGTGTTGTAACCGATGCAGCAAGATTCGCCAGAGGGAAGGATGTATTTGATTCAGAAAGAGCTAAGGTACAAGGACAACAAGTGGAAAACCCTGTTCGTTTGACAAGATCAGCATCGTGTGATTTGGTCCATTTCTTAGGTCGATTTCAACTTGAGTCTCACAAAAAAGCGTTCAAACGGACTATGTCATCTCCGTCTCTCCGTATGAGCAGTTTTCACAACGAATTATTGCAACAACCAGTCAGACTACAGTGATCCAGATAATTATAACGCCCGACGTTCGACGGCTTTCTCTAGCATGCACAGCAGACTAAATGAGGAAACGTACTGTTGTCCTCTCAGTCATTATATCTATTTTATTTTTAGAAGTTTTCAGCATAAACATCGAATTCAACTGTTTCTGAACACCCCGATATCTTATCACTGGTTGCCAGTTTTCCGTGTGGACGTGACTGGATTAGTTGAAAGAGCAGCCAGTATTGGTGTCAAGTTTAAGCCATGGCGACTGAGCCTAGGGGAACCTTCAAATGGGATACAGCTGCCCTGGTGTTTTCCTCCTTGGAACAAGTAGATGTTCAGAGACGTTTTTCACCCAGCTGTTGTTCCACAACCCCATTTTCATTTAGCCTCCTTTCTTGAAATTTAGGAGTAAAGCTATTAGCTGAACTAAACTGATGATGCTCATCTTTGCAAGTCTTGCAGAGAAATAAAATGAATAACTCTCTTTCAAGTTCTTCTTTTTTTTCCGCTGGATTTAGGTAAAAACTGACATTAGAAAAGATTTTATTACTAGTTCACTAGTCTGCCACACAGCCACTCATTGTGCTGTCATGCAACGCTTCTTCCCACTAACGGGCTTGTGTGGAGGAGCGTTGCGTGACGACGCAAGAACGCCTGTGTAGCAGACTACTAGTTTACTGGCCTAAAATTATTGTTTTCCCTCCTAAACGAATGCCTCCTGCGCTTTCTAAAGATAAATAAAAACAAAAACAAAACATAAAAATCAAAGCGAAGGAACGGATGGTTTCTGAGGAATAACTTAAAAAGTGTGTATTTCTGCTTTAGCGTTTTCCAGAAAAATTTGGCCTCACTTGAAAGTACCTCTGAAAAATCTCTGGGGACACCCATAAACCAATTTCTCGTTCCCCCAACCTCTGCATGTTTTATAACTTTTGTAAGGGCGAAGGCCTGAATGTGACGGGGATGCTGGTCGCCTTGCTTAGGGGTGTAAATTTCTGATTTTGGTCTCATTTAGGGTGTTCTGGGCAAAACGCCATTATATTTAGCCGTTAATATTTAGTGGTTTAATTCAAAATTTCCGACGAGCATCCCCGCCCCTTTCATATGGGAGTCCCCTCCTGGGGATTTTTCATTTTTTCCCTTGGAAATAAAATTCATTTTGTCAAGAAAGGCTTTGGATTTAGCTTGATTTCGACAGTGAGGGTCATGTTTTCTAACTCGAAATTTTCCCATTTAAAGTCAGTTCTTGAGAGAAAAGCAAGCTTCAACGTTTGTACAACTCAAGATATGGCAAACAGAAAACTTAAGTCAGAAGTGTTAGCTTTTCTTCATGATTTTTTTATTCTTTCTTAATACCTATAATTATCTTTCCATTGGCGTAATCTCGTCTTCTCGTGGTTTATGATACACCAAGGAACAACCACTACAATACTGGGGACACCCCCGAGCTAACGGAAACAGAGTAAGACCTTTCAGGCGCTAATTGTGTGAAAATATGAAACGGCAAACTGATCCTTACGGCAAGGCGATGAAGAAGTGACAAAAGAATAAAACAAAAAATGTATATTTCAACAAATTTGCCTAATATTTCGGTTTGAAAACAAACTTTCTTCGGGGGCTAAAAGAAAAATGAAGATAAAACTAATAGTTCTTTACAAATAAGAGTTCGAAAATATAAAAATAAAAACAGTAGATTGTTGTTGGTGTAGGAGACTAGATAATATCGTATATCAAAGAGTTTCATCACCTTCACTTATTCCTAGAGGAGAAAATGTGTTCCCTGTGTATTAAATTAGCCTCCCTAGCCTTTCTCACTGCATCACGGTTACCGCGTATGTGTTCAAGTGGGATTAGAAGAACGTCTTTGATTGAATGTCCTGCTTGATAGAAATGTAGGGAGACAGGAGCCCGGGGGGAAACTCCCATATAAAAAGGCCGGGGATGCTCGTCGTCTCGCTTAGGGGTGTAAATTTCAGATTTTGGTCTCGCTTAGCGTGTTCTGGGCAAAACACCATTATATTTAGCCGTCAAGGTCTCTTTTAAGGTTGCACTCGAAGAAATATTTAAAAATTATATATTTTCAATTCGTTTTATTTACTCGATTCAGGTAATCAAAGTTTAAAATGATCGCTTTCAGGGGTCCAAAAAAAGGTTGGGCCACGCCCAGATTGATCTCCTTTAGGGGTTTAATTCAAAATTTCCGACGGGCATCCCCGCCCCTTTCATATGGGAGTCCTTCCCCCGAGGACAGGAGTGGGATCGCTTAGTTGATGGTGGTTCAACATAGATCGGCGGTGTTCCCCTGATTGTGTGGCCCTCGGGTGGGAGACGGGGGGCTACTCAACAAGGCTTTATACGGTAACACTTCTACTAATAAATTACAGGTCTCTAGTTTTCTTGAAGAGCCAAAATTAGTTAACTCGAGGCTGACAAAAATAAAACAGGCTATCATAGATTACTTTAGAAAGGATCATATTTGACTGTAAAATAAAATACAATTCGAAGGTAAAAGGCGGAATGGCTTTATTAGGAAATAAGGTCATTTAACTCTCTATAAAGAAAATATACAAGAAAAAGTTATAAAAATTGTAAAATGAATTTTTTAAAAAAAAAGTACGAAAACGAACGGAAAAACACGAATATTGTCCTGAAATCAATTTCACATTTACGCTAATGATTGAATTTCTATTTTCTCTAACTGTTTAAAAATATTCCAAAATGTTAACTATTTATAAGCAAAAAAAGAGTGATCATTTGCGGTTTTGATATGTTAATGTTTTGACCTTTTGATTAGCAGTAAACTATCGTCGAAGCTGTAGACAATGTGAAATCGTTTCCGTACAATAAAGTGAAATTTCGCATTTTCCTTTCTGGGCCGCTTATATATGAGAAAAATCACCAAGCCACAAGCTGTGTTTTTTTCATATAAACACTTACTATAATACTACCGCCATTCACACTTCTTATAAGAATAACACGCGCTTTGTAAACTATATAAGCAAGGCCTCTTAACTAAGAAAAAGATGAGTTAACTAAAAGTTTTTAAAAAGGGATTCATCATGGACCAACACAAAGCAGAACTGAACACTTCCTTCTTTTCGAACACAACCAGGTCAATGTTTTGTTACCCACACGAACCACAGTTAGTTTGGGATTTTATACATGACACTACTTTTCCTTGGGATTTTGCCGCAGTCACGTCTATAACCTCTCCAGCTGCAGTTCTTTTGAACACTTGTAGTCATAGCGGTAATTCCAATACCTTGCTATCAAGTATGGCCATTACAGTTCTTCTAAGTAGGAGGTTTATGTGTACCGTTATCTGCTTTGGTTGGACTGTTAGTTTCTTATCAAACACTGGCTGAACATTACAGTTTGCGTGCTGGACTTTGTTGCCATTTGGTCCACAGTTACTCTTACGATTTGTTCGATTTTCCATCTGACAATGATTGCATGGGAAAGGTACGTGGCCATTGGAAAACGGATTGACTACAAAGTGATGGTGACTAAAAGCCTTATAAAAACCTGGCAATAATAGCTTGGGTATCAGCAATAGTATCTCTACCATTCTTAAGTACTTTTCGATTTTAATGGGGGAGATTCTGTGGAAATTTTCCTCATTGTTCTTTCAATTTTGTTAGTCCTTGCCCTGGGTCTTATAATAGATTTTGCTGTCATGGTGTACCTTAGCATGAGTTCCCAAACGCCATCAAATTTGCCAAGTCAACGAGTTAGTGAAAGAAAAACTCGAACATAAAGTAGCTAAGTCGACTGCTATGGTTACGGTTGCCCTGTTTCTTTCCTTTTTCCCAATTGTTGTTGGTGGTATGATACAAGGACTTTATCCAGTCTTTCGCCAACGTTTGGTGATGTGTCATAGCGGACATATTTTTGGACATTTAAATTCTGTAACTAATCCACTCGTTTACTTCTACAGAGGATCGCTGTTTCAGGAACGCCGTGCTGGAGATTTTGAAGATTAGGAGACACAAAGTAAAACCGCTTGTTGTACTGACCAATGCGATGAAATGTGCATTTCGTTCTCATCGATGTAAAGATATAGTTTATGACAAGAGCTATATTTAAGTGGCGTTTTTTTTTTTTTTTCTCGTTTTCGAAACACTATATTTTTTCTTTCATGCGCTCCTTTCTGGGGCCGCTTGTGAGAAAATCTCCAAGCCAAAACCTGTTTCTTTCCATGTAAAAACTTACGTATACTGTAATCATTGCGTTATTTTACATTAAAATGTTTAGAATTACATGCATGAGCCGTGTAGCCATATAAACAAGGTCTCATAACGCGAAAGAAGAAAGATAACTAAAAGTTTTGAAAAGAGATTTCCTCATGGACCTTAGGCCCGTTTCAAACGTCGCGCTACTGCCGTGCCGAACTCAATTGATTGAATTAAATTCGACTTTAGCACGGCAGTAGCGCGACGTTTGAAACCAAGTCGTGCTACTGCCGTGTAGCACGGCAAGCCTTGCCGTGCTACACATTGTGATATATTTAAGAGTTTGCTAAACCGTTTCTTTATTTTTGTGTTTTGTTTTTCGCAGCAGCCGTTCCATTCGACTGTCATTGCGTGAATTAAATTTGACGTCTGAAACCAAGTCGTGCTAGTGTCGTGCTGCAGTCGAGCTACAGTCGAGCCAGCTTAGCACGGCGGTAGCACGACGTTTGAAACAGGCCTTAGTGTCAGCTTCAGCTATCAGTAAGCAAGTTTCCAGACGCTGCATAAATATTCCGCATGAAGTCACCTGTCAAATTGTGACCAATCAAAACATAAAAATTGGACGTAGAGCGTGATCAACGCGTGACAGTGAGAAAAGACAAAAGCGATTGCCTTTCCTGCATGTAAAAGCCAGTTGAATTTTTGCGGCCGAGGTCAGTTCGAAATCAAAATATTAAAAGTGCGGCTCATGAACACGACTTATTTTGTATGCATTTTAAAGAAATTGAA